CTATGCAACACTAAAGAATAATGTAGAATCTGCAAAACACTGAATAACATGGATGAATGTGGAGGACATTATGATGGGTGAAATAAGTCAATGACCAAAACAAACAAACAAAAAAACAGACAAACTCACTGCCATTGACTTGGGTCCGACTCATAGTCACCCTTCCTTGGGTTCCCAACTCACAGTGACCCCTCCTTGGTTTTCCAAGGTGCTATCACTATGGAAGTAGATTGCCCAACCTTCCTTCTGAGGAATGGCTGGTGGGTTTGAACCTCCATCCTTCTGGTTAGCAGACAAATGCCTTAGGCACTATGCCACCAGAGCTCTTAGTTCATTATTGTAAAAAGTCAAGGAAAGATTTATATATGGAAGGAAACTTTCTTTGTTGGTTACTAGGGGTGGGAGAGGAGGGGAGGAAACACTGCAAAAATAAAAATATATATATTTTAAAAAGAAGCAATTGGCAAAATATTAATTGGTGAATCTAATCTAGATGAAGGTACTGAGTATATGGGTGTTTATTAGTCTTGAAACTTTTTGTAGGTTTAAATTTTTCCAAAATAAAAAGTTAAGAATGGACAGAGAGATCTAGTCATCCCTCCATTAGAAAAGGAGGCTGAATGAGGATCTAGCATCAAGGTTGACAAGTTTGGTGACATGCAAGCATGAGGTGCCAGATAGCTTTAGAGGACCATGAAGACAGGGACAGCCGACTGAACTCTCCTTCTGGCAAGTTTAAAATGTTATTCCATAGCCCAGGAACCAAACAGCCATTCATAAAGGTCACTCAACCAGCCGGCCTTTATGAAGTGTCTATGAGTTCCCCATGATGCATTTTCAGGTCAGACTGGTCATCATCTCCTTCCTCTACACAGATCATTCTTTTACTGGCTAAATGCAGTTTTTAGCCACGTGGCTTGAGGAGAGCCAATTACATGACAATAGAATGAGGTAAAAAGTAAGAGTGTTTCTTGAGTATGGATACCCAAGGAAACAGGGGGGTTGCGTCTGCCAAAGACTGTCTCCCTGAGGTGAGAAAAAGTTAGGGATTTTAAAGGGAATTGGCCTATGGGGTAGGAATGCTGCTAATGCTTTCTTCTTGTTATCAGGAGAAGTCGTCTTTGCCTTGTGAACTTTCTCTTATTCTTCTGGTCAGTGATATGAAACGGGCATGGTCAGGAGGAATTGTTTTGCAAACTCTTCATGCTTGCCCAGAAAGATTAACTTTACAAGGAGGGGGAAACTCGGGAGTATACACTCAAGCTTGTAAGGAAAGATAAGGATGAATGTGGGGGTGGGTAAACCTCAAGGCCTGTAAGGAGGGAAAGAAAAAATGTTAAAGCTTTTTCAAGATGCTAGGTTAAGATGGCTGTTCACTTAGGCTAGTTTAGCGTTGGGGGTGGGGGCTATAACAATTTCAGCTCCAAAATTTTGTAAGCAACAGAGTTCTCTTTAAACACGTTTCTCAGTTGAACCTGCAGGGATTCTGATGACTAAATAATATGAAGATCAAATAAACATGTCAGGATGTTTTTATTATTGTACAAGTTTGTTCATACACATCAAGTGGCATTCAGTGCATGCAGTCAGAATTTCCAAATACTGCCTTATTGAGGCACTGCAGTGTGGAGACAAGCATTCTGAGCTAGGAATTGAGAAGCAAAGGCTCTGGTCCCAGCTCTACCACTAACTGGCTCTGTGACCTTGGGAAAATCACTTTTCTACCTATGTTCCAAGGAGCTCTGGTGGCGTAGTGTGTAAAATATTTGACTGCTTAACCAGAAGGCTGGTAATTCAAACCCATCAGTCACTCCTTGGAAGGAAGACTGGGCAATCTACTTCTGGAGAGATACCACCTCAGAAACCCAAGGAGAGGTTGCTATGAGTCAGATCCAACTTGAAGACAGTGAATTTTATTTATTTATTTATTTTTGGTAACCATGTTCCTAGAAGGAGCTCTGGTGGCGATGTGGTTAAAGCATTGGGCTACTAACCAAAAGGTCAGTGGTTTGAACCCGTAAACTGCTCTGTGGGAGAAAGATGAGGCAGTTGTAAAGATTTACAACCTTCGGGGCAGTTCTACTCTGTCCTATAGGGTTGC